AAGTTCCCCCTCCCCGGAGTCGGGAGTTCCCCGCACACCCCACCCAGGCCCTGAGGTCGGGACCCCCGGGAGCCCAGGGCTGACGGGGTGGGGTCGGGCCCCCCGCTGGGCCGCAGGCCTGATGCTGCGTTTGCCTCCAGGAGGGGAAGACGGGGCCGACATGGGTGTGCCGGCGGAACCGACCAAACTCGGGGTCCCGGCTAGAGTGAACCCCTACTCCGTCATCGACATCACGCCCTTCCAGGAGGACCCGCCCGCGCCCCCGGACCCCGAGGCTGAGGAGGAGGGCGTGAGCCTGCACGTTCCCAGCGGGTACTCGGTGCCTGTGCCCTGCGGCTACGCTGTGCCCTCCGGCCTGCCTGCCCTGCTGCCGGCCTACTCCAGCCCCGTCGTTGTGCGCCCCGCGTCCCCGGAGGAGGCAGGTAGGCCCTGCCGCGCACGCGCCCCCCCCCGCAGGTGGGAGATGAGCCCAGGCGTCTCTCCCGGGGCGGGTCACAGCCGAGAGCACTCAGAGCTCCTTGTTCGGGGCATTTTCAAGCGGAGCCTGACCTGGACTTGCCCCGTCCCCGCCGTGCCCGCCAGGCGCTCCCAGGTCTTGTTCCTTTGGGGACGTCGATCATGCCTTTTCCTAAACAGTCACCTGTGACGCTCCGGCGTCATCCACTGACCCCTGAGCAGCAGGCTCTTTGGGTCGGCCTTCCTGGCTCATGCCTTCATTCGTGGGAGCTGAGGAGCCCGGAGGCTGTGTCTCCCCAGCACCTTTCCTCTGAGCCTGGTGTGTGCTGCTTGGGAGGTTGCCTAGTTCAGGGGCCTTGAGAACTGTCGAGGTAACACCCTGAGGTCCCTGTGCACCACCCGGCATGTCCCGCTACTGCGAACGGGTGTCTTACTGCTTAGTGGGCCCTGGACGTTTCTGTGGTGAAGTCTCCAAGCCTCCTGTACCTGCCTCAGCTGTCGAGCAGCCTGAAGGGGTCACGATGGTTTCTTAGCATAAGATAAACTCCTTTTAAAAGGCTTTTTAGTCAGCGTTGCCGGTATAGCAAGTAATAGTGAGCGGGCACCGAGGCCTTTGTCCTGCACTCTCACCGGACGTGTGACACGGACTTCGTGTGTGCACAAGTGTGTGTGTGTGTGTGTGTGTGTGCATGCACATGTGTGTGGCTCTGTATGTATGTGTGCATGAGCGTGTATAGGCGTGTGTGCATGCACGCATGTGTGGCTGTGTGCGTGTGGCTGTGCGCTCACGTGAGCAGCGTAAAGTTTGATTGTCCAATATCACAAACTTAAGTATTTCTCCCTTGAAAATCTTCTGAGGTTGCCATGTAGACGCACTTTCAAATATATAACAGTTGTAATTTCCTGTGAAAATGTAAGAAAGTGGGGAGAGTATGAAGGTTCTTGTTAAGTCCAAGACCTATATGGGGGTCTTTTTATCTCTGGCTGTTCCACAGACCTTTGGATTTTACTCTTTACTGTCATCCCGTTTGGAATAAAGGACCTTGAGTCCATCACTTCATCATCTTTATGTGAAGATGAGCCTCTCATCTATAAGAAACAAAGTAGGAAATCATTTTAAGGATGAGAACCAACTTCCTAAACCTTTTTATCAGGCATCGAGTAATATAAATTCTTTTCTTTCTTAGCGGAAATACCAGAAGTAGCAGAAGACGGCCAGTTTAATTCCTTAAGTTCTGAGGACCCAGCAAACAGGTACCTGTGTGGATTTTATAGGGTTTTCTGAGTCCGTGACTGTTCTCTGGAGCACTGAGTGCAGTGGTGCCCAGGTGCGCCGAGGCGCTGACCCCCGGCCCGCTCCCTGGCCCCTCACCTTCTCGCTCCCATGCTCTCTGCCTTCTCGCCCAGGGCCCCTGAGTGGCCCGGGCCCAGGTCCTCCTGACACCAGGACTCTGCAGGATGCTAGTGTTATCCTGTGTGAAAAACAAGGGATGAGTCCACACCACACAGAGCTGAGGACGCCCCGTGGGCCTCAGCACTGTGAAGGCCCTTTGATGTGGGGAGAGCCCGCAGTCCTGTCCGGGAAAGTACAGAATTGGCATCTGTATAGTTTGGGGACATTCAGCAGCTGAGTGACTGGAGGGGCTGTCAGTGGGGTGACTCACCGTTTGCTCTCCTGCAGTGAGGATCGGGTCCATGCCGAAGACAGTGCCCTGGCCCGCTGGGTGGCAGATCCCGCCAACACTGCCTGGATGGAGAGTAAGCTGCCAGCTCTGCTGATTGGCCTCACGCCCGTGTCAGGGCCGAGCGCTCTAACCCACGTCACTCACCTGGTGTCGGGCGCAGCTCGGCAGCCCCAGCTCCTGCCCGGCAGTCCCCGCGCTCTCTCCACCCCAGCGCATCGCCTCCCGGCTGCTGCTCCGAGCACCACTCTGGTGTCTGTTAAGTGGCTGGGGGCTCAGGAACTGAGACTTTGGTCTCGCCCACAGCCAGCAGTGGCCATGGAGACGCTGACACAGCCCCTTCCCCAGACCTGGTGCCTTTCCCGGGGTGGGGGTGCAGCCACCCGTGGCCCGAGGGCACCCCAGACCTGTGCCATGGGTGGGTTAGAGTGTGCAGCGGATTTTGGCTAGAGTTACGTGTGTTTTAATTTTCAAAGGAAAAGTGAAGGTGCTTTTCTAATCACCCTTTGTTGCCCACGAGCTCACTAATCTCTGTGTAACTTTTATTTAATTGACTTGCAGCCAGCTTAGCTGTCTCCCAGCTGCTAAGTTACCCCTGGGGTGTTTCATCCTGGTTTTAATCTCGACGTTGTCCAACAAGGGGCTCAGCGAGAGTAGCTGATTCTCTGGGGGCAGGGTGTTAAGTCAGGATTGTTGCAGGAGTAAATTATTGGGTCGTTCTATAGCAATTTCGTTTCCAAAGTAAATTTAGCTGAATTTCCCGCCCTGCTCATTTTTGTTACTCAGATGACAGTGAACTGGAATAACTGTATTTGTAAGTAAACTCTGCAGGCTCCAGCCCTCACATTACCTAACAGGACAGAGATACTTTTGGGGGTGTAGTCAGTGATATTTGGGTGCTCCTGAATTTGCACACACACCTCCCCCGCCCGTCGTGTGCGATGGTAACTGTGGCTCGAGGTCAGAGGGACAGTTCCCTGTATTTACCTCGTTTTCTTTCTTGGAACCCCGTGGCCCTCGTGGGTTTCACGTGGGAAGATGGCGTAGTAAGCATGGAGCCCTCGCCAACGTTCAGATGAGTCTCAGATTCCGTCGCCGCTCTCCGCCGTGGCCCGGTGCAGCGTACTCGAGGGTTTTGCCCACGGAGGACCCTCCTACTTTCATTTAAGGAAACGAATGTTCCACATAACACCGTTTGAGAAATTGTCCTGAAAGTCCGCCATCGCTGGGCCTGCACGCGGCTGCCTTTCGCGTCCAGGGGCAGGGACATTGCGTCATCGGCGTATTCATAGTGTCTCTCGTCACAGAGCAGCACCTGAGCCACCCTGTTATTTCTGACACTCTGCAAGCCACCTGGTGTTTTCCTCTGTCAGGGCACATTAACTTCATAAACTTAATGTTTGTAAAAGAGCCACATGGAGACATGCAACTGAGCATAAAATAGTGGAATGAACTGACCGGGAACCATCAGGCTCCTCTTGGGGCTATTTCACAGCAGGTCCACATAGAGTGGAGAGAGGGCCCTGCCCTGAGAGTGAGGCTCGGGCTTGGGAGGGGCCGTCACTGGCCTCGCAGGCGAGCCCCTCAGGAGACCACGGCCCCGTCACGTGGGAGTCGCACTCACTGGTCTTGGTCATTTTTAAAAATTTCCCCTCCTTTCTTTCCAGATCCAGAAGAAGCCATTTATGATGACGTCCCAAGAGAGAATTCAGACTCTGAACCAGGTTCGATTTTGTCTGAATTGAGTGTTGGGAGACTCAGCTTGGCAGTCTCTCCCGCGGGTGTGAAAATGCTCCCCGTGTACGCACTCCCCGTGGCCCTGTGTGTTACACCCGTGCTCTGTGGGTGTTACAGCGTCTCTGTGAAGCCCTAGGTCTCACCTCCAAGTCCCCAGGTCCCACCTAACATCCTTCCAGGGGGCAGGCCTGAGGCTGCCCTGCCCCCCGCTTTTCTGCGAGGCTCCCCCCGCCATGTGGTGAAATGACAGACAAGCAGGAAAGGATGGGCACTGAGAGGTCACGCTCCTGACCTCTCTCTGGCCTTTGTGCATCAGATGAGATGATTTACGATGACGTTGAGAACGGAGATGAAGGTGGAAACAGCTCCATGGAGTACGGATGGAGTTCCAGTGAGTTTGAAAGTTACGAAGAGCAGAGCGACCCCGAGAGCAGGAATGGGGTCCCCCGGTCCTTCCTGCGCAGCAGCCACAGGAAGCAGGTGAGTGACCGGCCGCCGCCGCAGACGCAGAACCAGGGCCATCAGGTGTGATGTCGGCGCAGGTCACGTTTCATAAGCGTTTTGAAGATGCTGGTACGTAGCCTGAGGCAAGTAGCAGAGACGGCGCCCCGTGTTTCACGTCGCGGCGCCACGGCGGGGGCGGGGATTAAATTGTTACAAAGTGGCCCCGAGGTCCCAGGAAAGCTTCTCTCCTGAGTATTGTGAGGAAGTAAGTGGCCGTTCTCTGAGTCACGTGTGTTGTGTGCATGTAACCCGCTCTGCACACTGGCGCTGGCGTCAGGTCTGCCCAGACGTGAGCGGCCGGCTGTCCTTTGGGGTGGTGAGAACTTCAGGTTCCCACCATGAGCGGGAAGCTATGGAACAGGACACGCAACAGGTGACGTGAAGGACAGAAGCCCCGACCTGCCCCGCGGCGACGCCTGAAGGGAGGGTGTGGGTGACACTGACCCGCAGGTCCCACGGGGACCGGAAGTTGGAGCGTGGATTCTGGAACTGGGCTGTGCGTGGCTGAGGCCGATCAGCCGAGAGGGGTCCCAGGTTTCGTGGTGACTGGCTGTGCCACGTATGCTCTTGTCGGGGTTTTGGCTGTTTTCAGAAGGGGCGGTTTGTACTGATGTCTGCAGTAAGGTCAGTGCACTCGTGCACCTTCCGGGGAGGTTGAGATGCAGCTCGTGACCTGACGGCGGGGACAGATGCAGCCTGTGACCTCTCTGTGGGGACAGATGCAGCCTGTGACCTCTCTGTGGTGACAGATGCAGCCTGTGACCTCTCTGTGGTGACAGATGCAGCCTGTGACCTCTCTGTGGTGACAGATGCAGCCTGTGACCTGATGCCTCATCATCAGGACAGAATTGGTAAATAGACTTCACCTGCCCCCCCAGGAACCAGACCCACATACTCTTGGCGGTAGCCTCCGGGTGCCTGTGGCTTATAGGTTCTTATGGTTGCTTAGCATCTCCTGTTCTGCAAACTTGGTTCATGAGCCTCAAGCACAGTCTGCCACCTGTGGGGACATCCCGACTGCTCAGTGTCACTCAGGCCTCTCCCAGGAACTTAGATCGATCTCTTCCGTCACCAGGATCGTCACAGCTGAGCCTCAGCCAGGGAGTGAGGCTACAGTCGTACTTGACTCAGTACAGCCAAGCCCAACACTCTGGGTTTAAACTGAGGTTTGAAAGTAATGCTTTGGCGTCCAGTTTCAGCAGGATGGAGTATTCAGTGTTAGAAGAGTGGACAAAACACCCTTAAATTTTGTCTCCAGCCTGGTTGATTATAGCACAAACCAGGCTGGGTCGGGGTTGGGCCCCTGAGGAGTCTGTGGGCCGTCCAAATGGACCCTGTCCCCGGACAACCCACCGGCAATGACCAGTGAGCATGTCGGCTGGTGCAGCAGCTTCACCGCTAGAAACCAGAGTGAGTCCAGCACAAGCTGACCAGGAGCTCGTTGCCACGGCAGCATCCTGGGATGGGGTGGGAAACGGTGTTCAGGATGGAGAGGCCACAGGAGCACTGGTTTCCTAGTTGAAGAGTTCAGCTTGTAAAAACTACAAACTAACACCAAGTTCTTGGAGAGTCAACTCAGGAACCGCCTCACGTTTTCATCAAGCACCACTTCCTGTGTCCCTGTCGCGGTGGACGTGGGGAACATTCACCCGAGGAGTGGGGCCTGGTCTCCATGCCTTGGACGCACATTGTGGTCACACGATGAGATTTCACTTCTGTCCCCCAGCCGGGGAGGAGGTTGTGTCTGTGCGGAGACTTACAGGCCCCTCTGGCTGCCCCCAATTGTGCCACCTTCCCAAGTTCAAGTTCCTTTTGCTTTGGTGATGACACACGGGAGTAATTTCATGCACATTTTACATATTTGATCATTTAAATTTTATCAGAATGGAAGGAATGATTGGACACAGGTTTTTTGTGCATTTGCACTTGTTTGGCATAGAAAAGTCTCCTGTCTGGCTCACCTAAAGTTTCGTCTATCTTTTTTTTTTT